ATGAGGGAGAGGAGATGCAACGTGGGGGGTTAAGGGGGTAGGAGAAGAGTAAATGAAACAAGATGGGAATGGGAGGGAGACAAACCATAAGTGACTCTTAATCTCACAAAACAAACTGAGGGTTAATGGGGGGAGGGGGGTTGGGGGGAGTGGAATTATGGACATTGGGGAGGGTTTGTGCTATGATGAGTGCTGTGAAGTGTGTAAACCTGGCAATTCACAGACCTGTACCCCTGGGGATAAAAATATGTTATATGTTTATAAAAAATAAAAAAAAATAAAAATTAAAAAAAAAAAAAAAAAAGAATGCCAGTTCCTTCTTGTCTGGCCCATTCTCCCCTTCCCAGATTTTTCTCCTCCTGCACTCAGCCTTACAAACTGAAATTTTGGTGACGCGAAAATACTTGTCACTCGCGTCCAGCTTATACTTCCAGGTCTTTCCTTATGCATTTTTCTTCTAGTTGGAGTATATATCCTTTCATCCCCTTCTTTATCTAATCAGTTTCTGCTCTCCCATAAAGACTCAGCTCCTGGCTTCCTAATCCTCAGAACATTCCTGGAGCCTGCCAAAGTAGGCTAAAATTCCCTGCCCCACTGTGTTATCCCAAAGTGTTCTACATACCTCAGTCACAATACCTCTACATATTATACCTCTACATACTATTCCAAAGTCCCCCATACCTCAGTCACAGTATCTATGATATTATATAGAAGTGATCAGTGAGTGGGTCTGCTGTTCCATAAATTATAAGCTGGTTCCATGCTGTACCACCAATACCCAGGAGGGACTTAGATTTGTTGAACAGCTCACACTATTTCTGACAACAAAAAACATAAGCGGTTTCATTGGGAATTTGAAATTCCAACAGAAGTCAAGAAATTTACAAACTGATTATTTAACAAATTTGCAGCTGCTTGAGTTAAGTGAATTTAATCTTTTAATTTTTCTTACTAGTTTGTTGCAAAAAGAGTTTATGCTTAGAGGTAGCCCAAGAGCATTTTTCTTGGCAGGCTGGCTCACTGCCTGGAACCATGTCAGCACTTTGCCTAAAGCAAGACAGTGATTATTTAAGTAGCAGACACGCTGATGGATCTCACGGCAAGACTGAAATGATGCATTTTCCACATTAGAATTCTGTAATCATGACTGTCACAAATGTGATTTGATTCAATTACCCAAATCGAACAGCACATTTCTCTTGTTCTATATCCTAAATTCCTCATTATTTTATATTTTTAAGTATAGTAAGAATAGAAATAGAAACTTTATCAATACTCAACTGATGCAAAGGAAAGACCTATATACGTAAAATAAATAAAATAGATCACTGTACTCATTCATTATTCAGAAAAGAATTCTGTGTCCCAAATTACTTGCATACCCCAGGGAACAGTGATTTGTCCAGATAATCACTGCAGCTCTGCATTTCATTGCACTAATATAAGAATGGCCTAAGGACAATTTTTAGATGAAGCAAACAGAGATAAAACCTAAGAAACAAGGTAAAATTCTATTTTCTTAATATTGATAGAGTTAGAATTATTTATAATCTTTGTTTTTGTTTTACATTTTGCACACTCTAAAGTAACCTTAAGAGGGCTCCCTACAGGGCGCCTGGGTGGCTCAGTTGGTTAAGTGACTGCCTTCAGCTCAGGTCATGATCCCTGAGTCCTGGGATCGAGTCCCACATCGAGTCCTGCAACAGGCTCCCAGCTCCACAGAGAGTCTACTTCTCCCTCCGACCTTCTCCTCCCTCATGCTCTCTCTCACTGTCTCTCTCTCAAATAAATAAATAAAATATTTTTAAAAAAAGAGGGCTCCCTACAGAAGATCACTGTTTCATAATTCAGTGCTCGGTTTTTCAGAGAATTTCAATTACTAAAGAGGGGGAATCTCAAAACTAACCATAAGGAATTAAACATTACAAAAGGTGCCCTCTGCATATTTCCTCCTTCTCCCCTTCATCAGTATGTGCTTGGTCACACATTCTCTACATCGTTTGCAGAATCCAATGATAAAAAAGTTCCTTACTTGGTATTATGTGTATCAATGGTATGGAAGAGCTCATGTAATTCTTCTCCACTCAGAACACCATCTGCAAAATATGCTTTGAATTCTTCAAAGGACAATTTTCCATCATCTGAAATGGTAGGAACAGACAGAAGAGAAGCAGATCATTTCACCTCTGTATATTGTTACATCTTTTAATTTTAAAAACTTTGTCCCAATGCTTATGCAGGTTTATTTGTGTATGTAAACACATTTATTTTAAAAGAACGAAAAATTCAAAGTGCAAAAAAGAAAAATAATTTAATATCTCTCTATAGTACATAGTCTTCAGATGTATACTCTCTGATGAAATAGGTCTACATGGTTTTAAGTATGTTTGGGATCATTTATTTCTAGGGCAAACATTTAACAAACAATTTAACATGTCAAAAAGTTATCCACCCAACCAAATAATAGCCTAAGACAGAGTCAATTATTTAGACATTTTGTCTTGATATACAGGACCTAGCAGGTTACAGAATAAATACTAGATGTTTAATAATGCATATTGATTAAATGAATGCTAACATTTAGATTTTAGAGTCATTATTACAATCCAACAAATGGTTTTCATTCCCTACTATTTAAACAAAAGAACAGTTTTTAAAGACAAGCACATTCTACTTATTGTGAAATACAAAAGTGAATGACAATTAAATCAGGGAGTCTAATAAAAAGAGATAAGATGTGTAGATGTAAGTGTAAGTGTGTTACACAGTAACACACAGTAAGGGCAATAAGAGATATACGTTGGAATATATGGGAGTTAGGGCAATCAAAGATCCTTTCATTTGGGAGCATGAGGAGTTTTAGTAACTTTTGCATCTGACATTCTGCAACAGATAAATGTGGATGAGTAGAGATTGAAGAAACACAGTAACAGATTAAAGTAAAAGATCTCTACAAGATACAGAAGCAGAAAATTTAAGGGAGTGAATAGATGTGAAGGAAAAAGAAAACATCCTTCTTTCTATGCAGGAAACTGGTTTGCCAGTTACCTCAGGTAAGTTGCCAAATGATTTAAGTGGTGGAATGTTCCTCTCCATTTACAAAGAGGAGGAAGGAATTTAGGGTCATAAAACTCCTAGAGTGGTCCTACCAACACCATACTCAACAAAGTAGAATTTGTCTTTGAGAAAAAGGTGATAAGATTTAATAGGATTGGATCTTTAAGACCCATTTGGGTCTTTTTTCTTTTTTTTTTTTTCCTCAAAAGATGGCCCACAGACCCCCTGGAGTTCAGTTAAAATACAAATTTCTGGGCCCTACCAGAGCATCTAAATCTCGTAGAGGGCATGGAAGGGAGGGGCAGTCAAGAAATCAAGATTTTTAATGACCTGTGAGAGTTCTCCTCACACTAACACTTACCATAAAGGACACAATAGGCCTAATCACTGAATGAGCTGCTTTTTCAGATAGGGATTTAAAGGTTGTAACATTTTCAGAAATCCTTATTTGCAAAATATAAACATAAAGACCCTTGAGAGTTCTTAAATTCCATATAATTATACTTTTAACTTAATAGGTGTATTAAAGCAATCTTCCAGTTAATTCTTGCCAATAGCTAACTGAGCATTAGAGGTCACAACAAACCTGATCTAGATTGTGCACTGAATGAGATCCTCACTCCCAGAGGTCCCCTGGATGGACCTACCCCAGTCTAGCTCAGCCATTCAAAGACCACAGCAACCCATTGCAAAATGAAACTGAATCCACCAGGCTCATCAATTGTCTGATTTTGTATTTCTGCTTTTGGATGGGATATTTTAGTGTCATATCTCAAATAACTATGTTTAACTTTGGCTCAGTGTAACCTGAGGTATATTCCAGACTGGACATATTATAGTTATCACTACTGTGTATCTCCTTACTTTGACAAAATAATATATCACAAGGTTGGGGAACTGGACACAAACCACATCTAGGTATAGGAGAAAGAAAGAGAGGAAGGAAGGAAAGAAAGAAGGAAGGAAGGAAGGAAGGAAGGAAGGAAGGAAGGAAGGGAGGAAGGAAGGAAGGAAGGAAGGAAAGAAGGGGAAGGAAGAAGAGAGGGAGAGAGGGAGGAAGAGAAGAGGGAGGGGAGGGGGTGGGAGAGAGGCAGGGAGAAGAAAGGAAAAAGGAAAGGAAGGGAGGAAGTAAAGAGAAGGAGAAAGGAAGAGGGAGAGAGAAAGGAAAGAAGATAGAAAGAAGATAGAAGAAGACAGAAATCAACTCATAATAGAGAGGAGGAAACTCTACTATGGAAATTTGTAACAGATGTAATACATACATATCCATGGTGGAACAGGTTTCCTTTGGTGAATATTTAATGGTTCTCAGGTAAACTTAACTGGGCTATTATAGAACTTAACCTGCCTGTGCACCCTATGGACAGCATGAGCCTCTGTATACTGCTTTATAATCCCCATAAGTAAGTAAGCTTGAGTGGCAATGTAAATACTGTCAAATAAAAGCACTGAACAACAAATGCTCTGATCATTCTATGGGTCTAAAAGCCTTTTTTCTTTGTAATTCTTATTAGAAAAAATATAAAAAGATAAAGGAGGCATTCAATTTTAGTCCTGACTTGAAGGATGGAAACTACATTTTGAAAGTCTGTTTCTACCACATCCAAGACTCCTAGAAGTCTTAAATTCAGGATACCATACTTTTAAATAAACAGTTATAATGAGTTACTTTGGAATATTTCTAGACTAATTCCTTAATGTTAAACAAAAGTATCACAGTTTTTTGTTTTTAAGGAAAAGGAGACAAAATACTCCTTTCTAGTGTGGTTCTACATTAACAAATCAATCTCAATTTTTTTATTAAAATATTTTTTTCAACTTCAATTTTTCAACTGATCTTTTCTTTTGAAATGGAACATAATTAAACCTTGATTTATACTGGCTTACAGATTAGCCAAATCTTGTGAGATCTGATATACTATGACAATAAATCTTTTTTTTTTTTCAAGATTTTACTTAAATTTTATTTAAATTTAAATTTAAACTCAATTTAGTTAACATATAGTGTAGTATTAGTTTCAGGTGGAGAATTTAGTGATTCATCCCTTACATATAACACCCAGTGCTCATTACAAGTGCCCTCCTCAATGCCCATAACCCATTTACCCCATTGCCCCACCCACAGGCCCTCCTATAATAAATCTTAATCTTTACCAACAAATGATACAGGTTTTTCAGTTTTTCATATCTGAATTACATGCTTCGCCTGAGTTTGTCCTGAGCATAGCTGGCCCCTCCTTTGCTTTATTTTTAAAGTATTCTGATCTTATACTCTACATTCCATTGATTTTTGAGATGGAGGTAGCAGGTTGCAGTTGCTTAGAACAGTCTTTTTTTTCATCTTTTTTTTTTTAAGATTTTATTTATTTATTTCTCAGAGTGAGCACAGGCAAATAAAGTGGCAGGCAGAGGCAGAGGGAGAATCAGGCTCCCTGCTGAGCAAGGAGCCCGATCGATGCAGGACTCGATCCCAGGACGCTGGGATCATGACCTGAGCCGAAGGCAGCCGCTTAAACAACTGAGCTGCCCAGGCGTCCTGCTTAGTACAGTCTTAGAACAAAGAAAACTTGAGTTTTTAACATGGATTTGCAAATTATTAGTATAGCACTTTCACCCACTGTCTCATCAAATTTTTACTCAGATCCTACTATGATCCAACACTGTTTTGTGCTAAGAACATAGACAGGCAAGCCCTTAAGGATTTTGTACTTATGACGGAGGATATAGGAAATGAATAGCTAAAGACTGGGTAATTTAAAGACTGGGTTTGATAAGGGTAATTCTAGGAGACCCAGGATGATGTGAAACCATGCAGAAGAGAAACAAACCCTGATGTAGGTAGGTATATAGGGAAGGCTTTCCAGAATAAGTGACATTTCAGCTGAAATACAAATGAAAAACAAAGGTTAATGGGGAAAGATCTGTAAAAGGGAAGAGTATTCCCGGTAGAGGAAATGCTAACCACAAAGCTAGGAGGCAAGAAATGATACGGTTTGGGAACTGAAAAGAAAACTCAGTAAACTTGGTCAAAGAATACATACCAAAGTAGAACGAATCATAGTTACTAGGTGCTGGGGGGAGGGGGAACTGGGAGATGTTGGTGAAGGGATACAAAATTTCAGTTATACAAGATGATTAAGTTCTGGAGAGCTAATGTACAACGATGTGACTACAGCTAACAATATTGTATTGTATACCTGAAATTTCCTAAAAGGGTAGCTATTAAGTATTTTTACCATAAGAAAAGAGTAATTGTGTGAGGAGATGAATATGTTAAGTAGCTTTATTGTACCAAATATTGCACAATACATATGTCTGTCAAGTTGTACACCCTAAATATATACAATCTTAAAGTGTCAACTATGCATCAACAAAGCTGGGACAAAAGACTACATGCTGGGTGGGAGGAAGGACAAGCCAGAGAGTTAGACACAGAGAGTCAATATCATGAAAAACCATACAAATCATGGTAAAGACTTCTGAATTTACCCCAAGAGGAGCCACTGCCCTATTAGGAAGCTTACGTGGCTGGAGTGAGTAGAGTGGAGTGGATAGGTGTGGCACCAGAAGAGAAGACACATTAGAGGTCATTGCCATAATTAGGGTGAGAATAAATGGCGGCTTAAACCTTGGTGGTAACAGTAAGAACACAAAGTAAGTGACCAGATTTATAATCTATTTAGGAAACAGAATCAATAAGAACTGGTGATCAGTTAGAGGTGATGAATGAGAGGGAACAATAAGTCAAACATGACACCCATCCAAAACTGAGTAATCAGATGGATAATATCTTCATTCTCGCAAGAGAGAACACAAGGCAAAAAGCATACGGTTGAGTACTGGGCTCTTTGGCCTGCAAAAATTAGATGTACCTATGGAATAAGTAGATGCGTCTAGCAAGCAGGGGGTATGGGGTATAGAATATAGGATATATATCATAGGGGTAGAGGAGAGAGAGAGGGAGAGATGAGGGTGACAGGAAGAGGGAGAGGTACTTAGAATTACCAATACATACTAATTGAGGTCCTAGAAGTGAGTTCATTCTCCCAAGGAGAATGTCTACATTCTGAAAAAGGGCATAGAA